CCCCCACTTTCCTTTAATGGAATCTCCAGTCTTTTTATTCATACCTTTTTTTTTGTATATTATTTTATGATATTATTTGCAAAGGTCAATGGCTCCCGGTTGCTCAGCGGTATACTCGACGGTTTATAAAATTAAAATCTTGGATTCAATCCTTGCAGTGGGCACAGCACAAATAGCCCATTGTTCAACTTTGTACTTAACAGCATAAACAAACAAACAAGTGTCATATAAACTAACGTCGAACTTGTATCTACTATTGTCGATAATTTGTTTTAAACATATTTTGAAATGTTTAAAATGTTAAGTATTCAAAACATTTATTGCCGTTTCTGATTGCCTCATAGAATTATCTTTGATTGCCTTGCAGGAGACATGACTGGGAAGTACTCCATCTACACCATTTATGAAGGACATGAGATAATGTTCCATGTATCCACTCTTCTGCCTTATTCTAAAGATAATCGTCAACAGGTATAGAGTATACTTATGACTGTATACTCTGTGGTAGGGTATTTGCTCATGTTTACTTCTGAATATGTATCTGTAGACACTATTTTTAAACTCTCAAATTACACGTGAACCTACTTGTTGGATCCACATATTGCATCATTTTGAGTATGTACTTTTATGCTTTTCTTCTTTCAGTTACAATACTGAATGTAAAGAACTCAGGATATTTTGTTTTACATATAAATTAAGGATCCAAATGGATTGGAAGCCCATAGATTAGTGATATGAGCACATGATACAAAAAACAAAACAAAGAATCCTTATACATTACGTTACATAATTCAGTTCAAATGTCTGTTTAGTGCTCACCTTTGTTCACGTAAAATAAACAAAATACATTATTTTTATAAATACATATAAAATTAATTATTACTTTACCTCTACATGTGGGTACAGGTAGAAAACGGGTCCTTTGGAATAATGTGAACCCTCACGAAATATTTAAAAAAAAACAAAAAAAAACGTGCCCTAAAGAAGAGACCAAGAATTGAGTGAACTCAATAGTTTTCTTTATTTAAAATATATAGCACACCCTAGCAGTAATTGATGGGATTAATTGCAATATTGATGTCATTTTTGTTTAATTTATTTTTTGTGTATGTGATACTCACATATCTTATTAGGTAACCCGTAACCGACAAAGTCATCAGCTCATAAGGTATTTGGTGCAAATAGTTAAAAAACAAAAGTTTAAACATCGGATGGGGGTTCATGGACCCCTTTGGTAATTCTAGGGCTAAAAACTTTTGGCTTGTTTTAGATGGTAATAAAACAGTAAGTACAAAAATCATGGCACTAAGAAATCAGATAGAATCAAAAATTTGGTAAAATACAAACCAAGAAGTCCAATAATCCGACCGCTTTTAAGGATGATTATTTAGGCCAAAGTTGTCTTTTAATGCAGGAAGATCCAAAGTTAATAAAGGTTCCCGAAAAAGGTGTTATTTGGATAATTTGATAAGGAAAAAAATATAACTCAACTATAGAACAAAAATCAAACGTCACTGAGTAACAACTGCATTGTGAAAATTAATCGTGAGTTTTTGTCCTAAAACGTTATTTTTGATATTATCAAATAAATAATTAAACAATTTTGATAGAGTTTAGGTCAATGTAACTTGCCCCCTCCCCCAGTGTCACAGTGGTATGCCTGCAGACGCTAAAATCCGGGTTTCGATACCCGTGGTGGGCAGAGCACAGATAGCCCCTTGTGTAGCTTTGTGCTTAATGGGGCTCCTCGGTGGCTCAGCAGTTTATCTGAAGGCTTATAAAGCTAAAAATCGGTTTCGATACTCGCTGTGGGCACAACCGAGATAGCTTTGTGAATAACAAAGAAACAAATACTTATTAAGAAAATTGTAAACTCCATTATTAACTAAGCAGTGTTAGAGGTAACTCTTCTATGTTATATCTAATAATTTTAGATAGGCTTTGACTATGGTTTTTGTAAATCTTCAAGAAAAGGTTTATGTTCATTATTAACTTTCATTATGATTTTCACTAGCAAATTTATTTCTAAAAATATACTCCATAAATAGTTAACTTGTACAGAACTTGCCTTTTTTAATGGAAAACATTATATTATTATTTATATTTTACAATTTATATATTCTAAAACCGCAATCGGCTATTTATTTCTTGAGGGAAAATTCGGAGTATAAATTAATTTGCTGCATACATGTAACCATAAAATAAAATAAAAAAATAAAACCGCATAATTAAAGAATTAAATAAGATGTTTCATTATTATTAGTGTATAAGTATTGATAACAGTTATCCGGTTAATAAGTATTGCTTTATAGAGGGCAGTTCATCGTGCACTACAGAGACCAAGCCCTTGATTGTTCTTGAATCGTTGAAACTTATTTCTTCTTGTTATGTCATCATTACAGGTTGAAAGAAAAAGACATATTGGTAATGACATCGTCAACATTGTGTTTTTGGATGGAAACCATCAGCACCATTTTTCGTTTAAGCCTTCAATGATCAAGTCCCAGTTTACACGTATCCTTCCGTGTTATTAAGGGAAAATAGCGTTTAATATCCTTCTGCGTTATTAAGGGGAAATAGCGTTTAATATCCTTCTGCGTTATTAAGGGGAAATAGCGTTTAATATCCTTCTGCGTTATTAAGGGGAAATAGCGTTTAATATCCTTCTGCGTTATTAAGGGGAAATTGCATTTAATATTGTTCTATGTCATTAAGGGGAAATAGTATTTAATATTTTTGTGTGTCACTAAGGGGAAATCGTTTTTAATATTCTTCGGTGTTCTTAAGGGGAATGCATTGTTTAATATTTTTCTGTGTTATTAAGGGGACATCGTGTTTCATTGATTTACTCTTGTTATGTATCATTCCGTTTACAACAGAATTGATGTATATTGAAAGCTTTCAGAGTTTATTAGGGCAGACAATGATATTAGAACTTGCTAAAGATTTTAAATAAACTAGAACTACCCATTCAGGAAAACATGCAAATTAGGCATACCAGGATGATACCAGTTAGGTAAGATGTGAGCCAGAAACGTACATTATGTTCACATACAGGTAGGGGGCTCTAAACAACTAGGCTAATGTTATGCGCTACAGTCTCTAGCTATAGATTATTCCCTATATTATTCCTGAACCAATAAGCGGCTCTAAACAACTAGGCTAATGTTATGCGCTACAGTCTCTAGCTATAGATTATTCCCTATATTATTCCTGAACCAATAAGCTATGTGTCACCTGCTAAATATTTGCGCCACTGTATTTCTTTTGATGATATAAGATATATTTCTTTTAGCTGAATAATATACGTCCGGATTAAGAACAGCGATTGTTTTATAATAGCATATAATATGATATATCTCAAACTATAGTTACGCTGATATTATTTTAATCATGTAATATGTGTCACTCGTGTGTCTCACCCTTGATATTCTTAATGAAACGAAGTTTGTGTCACAAACATTGGTACCATTAATGAAGTAATTTGTCTCACAAGCCATCGTTACATTGATATTATTTGTGAAATAATAACATTGGTGTATTGATGTTATTTGTGAATTGATAGAATATATACAGGTCATTCTTACATTGATATGATTAGTGATATTATTAATAAAGTTCTAAGATCCATTCATAATAATGCCTGCTCCAGTACTGCCTAAGCTTTAGTAATGAAGTTGCCTAATGAAGTTGTCTAGTTTTTGTTTTTATCCAACCTTAACTTTTCCACTAGATATTTTCGCAGTTGTAACTTATAACCCAGAAGACGAGTCGTACAAGTAAGTTTTATTTGAAAGTTATGCCATCAAGTACCCAACAAATTCCTGGTTTTGTTTGATAGGATTTTAAAAGTTTTTATAAATTATTTGTCCTACGGTGACGAATTGTCTTGTTCTAGAAAAAAAAAATTCTGTTATTCTACTTTGTTAAATTAACTATTATGTTTGTATTAATTCAGCTTAGTACGCATTTCCCGCCTTATACAGAGTCTCCTTAACGTTGCAGAAGTTTTAAGTATCCAGACCCATTTCCAAGTAGCCTGAAATAGAATAGGAATGTTGTGTATTTCGTATACTACAAATAGCTTTAAAGACATTTTGTACACTAAATGTGTTACAGGCAGAAATACTGCAGAAGGTGATCTCAAGAGTCAGCTCTATACTAGAAGTATCTCAAGAATCACACCTGTAGAAGGTGATCGTAAGAGTCAGCTCTATACTAGAAGTATCTCAAGAATCACACCTGTAGAAGGTGATCGTAAGAGTCAGCTCTATACTAGAAGTATTTCAAGAATCACACCTGTAACAGGTGATCTCAAGAGTCAGCTCTGTACTAGAAGTATCTCAAGAATCACACCTGTAGCAGGTGATCGCAAGAGTCAGCTCCAAACTAGAAGTATTTCAAGAATCACACCTGTAACAGGTGATCGCATTAGTTAGCTCTATACTAGAAGTATCTCAAGAATCACACCTATAGCAGGTGATCGTAAGAGTCAGCTCTGTACTAGAAGTATCTCAAGAATCACACCTATAGCAGGTGATCGTAAGAGTCAGCTCTATACTAGAAGTATCTCAAGAATCACACCTGTAGCAGGTGATCGTAAGAGTCAGCTCT